GATTATTTAGATAAAGAAAAGTGGAAAAAATCACATAATCATATACAACGATACAATACCTCAATGTTCCTGACAGTAGGTACGCACATCACTTCAACATGATAAATGTAGAAAAGCAAGGAGAATAATGTGTAAAAGTTAAAGAAAAGATTGGGCGAATGACATCATGCTACATTAATTAGTTGTTTTTACAATTTTAATAAATTGTTCTGAAGTAAACATTTGACAATCGTTGTAGCGTTCAGGGTTTTAAACATATGTTTAATTTTAAAATCGTATAACGATGGGATGGAAAGGAGCAATCTCGAGAGAATTTTGTGTTTATATTGAGAGACCTTTAACAGGACGGAAAGTATCTTACTGATTGAAAGGAAATTCTATCCTACAATGTTGTGGATAGAAATATTCTAATTGGCATTCCGAAAATCGCAATTAGTGGCAGTACGAAAGTTTGATAGTCTTTTTAATGTCATTTCATAGTATCCACAAACGTTAATTATTGTTTTAATTAGTGTACATTTATTACAAAGTAAATGATAAGTTAGAGATGCTGGATTAATATACACTAGGACTCAGACTGACACTGTGTACACTTTATATTAGACCCAAAGTGTACATGTGACGATGACAGTGCGAACGGAAATTCGGTTTGTTTGCAAACAGGAAAATAAGTTGTCGAATTAAAATTGAATGTGGCGGGTAATAAAATTGTTTGCATAAGGTTTTGCAAAAGAAAACTGACTCGGGGGAAACCGTTACAATCACTTTTATATTTACTGTATCAATTACAATATGGACATTTTGAAATCGTAATTTGAATTTTGTCTGATATCGGATATTTATAGCCGTTATTAAAGATGTGTGTGTGTTAATAATTTCTATAATGTATACTTTTATACACTGTAGTAAATATATATACTTGTAGATGTTATGTGTAACACAATCAATGGCTTTTGTTCTGTATCAGATATCAGTTCAAGTGAAAACAAAAACAACATCTATATATTTGAATACAGTATATATTATGTTGAATATCACACTCCGTGCATGTTTCAACCTTCAACTTATATAATCCCTGTGGTTGAGGTCGCGGTATTATAATGAATCAGATGTGTCTGGTAAATAACTGTCTGATTTGTTTGTGTTTTATTGTAAATGTAATGTCTCGTATGTCTATATAGGCTGTGTATCGCAACATTTGTATATTTGATAGTAAGACCAATCTATAATTCTTCATAACTTTTAACTTTACTTTCAATTGGGTAATACGACGACTCTGCTTAATGCGTTTAATAAAAACTTATGGTTTACAAATAGTACCTATCCCTCACTTCTCCTTTCGGTTGACTGTTCAATTGGTATTTTGTACTACATCTTTTCGCGAAATAACGCCTTTGACTCTTTTAGTTATTATTTTATAAAAGTGTTGAATTTATATGTGAGCAGACTTATGACAAAAGGGAAGACTATTCCAAGATAGCTGCCATTTACAGTTTTCAAGTACCTATCACCTTTCATCCTTTGTAATTATATTAATAAAATGATCCGACCTCACCCGGTATTTTGTGATGTTTCCTTTTGCCCTTACCATTTGCGTCAGAAGTCTTACAATCGAATCATAAAGTTTTTTTTTAATAAATTCTACGAGTATATTTGTCAATATATTACGAATTGCAGTCTCCATCTGAACCTTTTTGGTGGTACTATATGCCTGTTTTAACAGTTTAAATTGAATTTTACGCCACATATTCTCAACGATTTTAAGGTCTGGATATTTTTCTGGCCATTTTATACAATGAAGTTAATTTTGTTCCATTAAATCTTTCACAGAACTAGCTCTATGAACCGGGGCGTTGTTATTTTGGTATATGTAATTGTCACCAGGGAAATGACGACCAATAACAGGCCAAACAAAATTGTTGACAATCTCAATATACATAAAAGCATTAATATTACCAGTTACAATAGTAATAGTACCAACACTTCCATAGGTAATTCAGCCCCAGATCATCAAATCTAAACGTATCCCAGGGTCAGAATTAAAACGAGAAGGTTTCCATTCCTCACTGGTTTGTCTCAAGACTAAAAGTCGATTGTTTTGTGCAATTTCCACCTGACATTCATCACTATAGATAACTCTTCTCCAATAATCTCCCACTGTTTTATGTCAGTTCAAAGTACATCATGCCAGCTTTTTTTTACATTTGCAGCACGAATTCTAATGGATTATTTTACAACACACTTTGTATGCCCCTCTTCGTACAATTTTCGCTGAACTGTACGCTTAGAAACGGGCTCTTCTCTCCATTCGTTAAAATCAGCAGCAATTAGTTCATGAAGTAGACGTTTCCTATTTGATTTGACAGTGGTTAAAAAATTGCTAGTATCCCACGGTGTTAGACGATTTGACCTACCTGTTCTCTCCTTGTTTTCCGAATTTCCTCACCCTTTAAAACGAGTTAAAACTCCATAAGTAGTTAGAAGTGGATGTCCTGTTTGCGGTGCAATATCAAGTCCTTTCATACCAGCCTTATGCAATGCTGCATTGGCATTTTTCGCCAAAATGACAATGACAGTTTCGTGCGTTTTGGTACCATTCATAAAATTATACGAAATGTAAATAAAGCAGACGATTCCAAACTTCCGGTGACGTAGCAGGTCAATGACTGACCTCATAACTTTTAGCACGGTAGTAAATCACTGGGGAAAAGTGGCAAAAAAAGTCACTGGAAAAAGTCACTGGAAAACAGTCACTGGAAAGAAATGTTCAATTATAATGAAAATTGAATAACGTGAATAATTAATTAGTTGAATCTTTTTTAATTCGTTTTAACCTTTTCTTAAAAAATTATGAATAGGTATTCGTTTTTCACTTTATTCGTAAATAAGTAAATTGCAATTGAAAACTAAAAATATGAGTTATATTTTCGTCGTTCTACAAAAAGTATCACAGACTGGTATATATAACTGCCAAACATAGGCATTTGTTTTTAATATCATATTAATTTTAAACAATGATACTTCCACAAATGTATGTTTTAAAAACTAAGAGGCACGAGAAACTTTTGAATATTTAAAAATAGCAAGCATGATTTTATCAGTGGCATGGTTGTGCGTTTTTTTTATAATTTGCCTATAAAAATATCACATATTTGAAAATCCTTGTATTAAGTAATGAGTAGTACGACAAAGCATATATTGAAGCAAAATATCAGAAGAAAAAATATTGGATTTTCTTTAAAAGTATAAATTATTCACTGTCTGAACTCAGTGGTACACGATGTGTTCAATTCGAACGCGTCAACGTCCGGATTCATTTGTATCGGGGTTATACGTGGTGGTGATATAGTATGAACTATCGACTAGGAAGACTTTTTTAATTGCGTCTTTATCAATTTTATTTTTGTGTATGTTTGAAGTTTTTTGTGTCTTGTGTTGTATGTCTGTGATATATGAATACACACTTGGGACTGATGGATCACAATTATTGTCACATTGACCAGTTATGTCTGTTTTGGTTACACATTCAATTTTCTCAATATGGCGAAGCATATAATTTTGGGTTTGGCTAGCTATGAAACCAGGTTTGGTCAAAGTGCCAGTGCAAAGTAAAGAACATAACAGTTGTGTTTTTTTTTATTTTATTTTCAGATATATGTTGGACATGAAGCAATTACTACCTTTGCTGATATTAATAAATTGTCATATGATACAAGGTAACTAAAAATGTCATCATGTGTATATTTTATTAACAAGTTAACAATAGATATAAATGCAAGTTTGAGGAATTCTCTGAAAATGAATACAACTTGAAGCTAACACGAAATTCAATATAGATTATTTTATGCTGCCTTTCATCACACACACACACACACACAATGTCATTTTGAGATACATGCCAGTCATGTATTGGCTGAGAAGTTATAACTATGAATAGGTAGGCAAATATTTTGGTGTATTATCATGCTCTACCGAAACTAGCGAGTTGACTTTCGTTCAGAAATTATTAAAATTTTAGAATTATCAGAATTGCAGCGAATACACCATTAAATGTGTTACTCTTCTGCTTTGTTTTCATGGAAATATATACTAAATACTAGTATAAGTTTTCATTATTAAAGGTAGAACCTATAGTCTTTCACGTCATGTGGTCCCTGGCGGAGAATTGTCTCATCGTGTGTTTTTTTTACAGTGTCATGCTACATATTGGAATTGTTATATTGTTATTTTGTATGTTTTTATGTGTATGCAAATAACAATGTAAACATAAAAATAGCAAGATGTGGTATGATACTGTAAATAAAAACCAGATGAGACAACTCTGTAAAAGAAATCAATAGATGTTCTAATTTCTTATTTGTTATCCTGAACTTATTATTTTATGTGGCGGCATTCTGTCCAATGATATGGTTGTCTTTCTGGTATTGCTTTACATCTTTTTAAATTATTTTTGTATTAACACTGTCATAGATCAAATTTATTCGTTCAGTGTATGTTCATATGTCTTTTGATTGAGTTAAGCTATTTCAATTGATATTTTATAGTATGTCTTTCTATGTTGTGATATTACACTATTGTTTCAGGCTAGGGTGAAGGTTGACGCCTATTAAAACGTTTAAAACCGCTGCATTTGTTTGCACATTTCCTTAGTCAGGAACCTGATGTTCAGTAGTGACGTTTGTTGATGTGGTTCATAAGTGTTTCTCATTTCTCGCTTTTTATATAGATTAGACCGTTAGTTTTCTTGTTTGAATGGTTTCACATTGTCATTTGTGGGGCCTTTTATAGCTTGCTGTTAAGTGTGAACCAAGGTTTCGTGATGAAGGCCGTTTTTTGACCTATTATGGTTTATACTTTTACAAATTGTGACCTGGATGGAGAGTTGTCTCATTGGCTCTCATACCACATCTTCTAATATCTATTTATCATTGTTTGAATTATTTATATTTTTCTCAAAGTATAGAACATTTGCCTAGAAATAACTCAAATAAAACAGTTTCAGGTGTTTTGGAATGGACAGTTACTGGAAAGGTAACAGATTATGGGCAAAACGTGACATTATTTTGCAATGTTCCAAACTGCTGTCCAAAAGATGCAGGATGGGACAGATGGACTCCAATACAACAGACACTGTTTATAGATGTCAAAGCAGGACACCCTAATAAAAAGTATGATGGAAAGGTTTTTCAGGATGGATATACCTTAGTTATACAAAATCTGACAAAAGAAGATCTTAATGTTTCGTATTCCTGCTTATATGGTGTAACATTAGGACAGAAGAAATTTTTATTGGAAGAAGAAGTATTCACAGGTAAGTGCAAATACTGAATAAGTAGGAAGTCGATGTGAATAAGATGAGGATAATAAAAAAATCCAATGATCTATCAGATTACATATCTTCTTTATTCTTGCAATAGCTTTAAAACATTCAACTGTTCTACCCTTAACTTCAAGTATTCCCCATTCCAAACTGAAAGACAAAAGAAAGAATTGGTCTTGATTAGCTTCTAAAATAAGAATGGCCAACGTAGATACAAGTTTCTCTAAATCTTACACGATTTACCATTTTCCTGACCTGTTGTTTATTTTTATTTAATCAACGTGGGGTTCGTTTGATCTCATTTCTTCATTGGTCAAAATTCGATTATGACGTCAAATTTTCTTGCTGTCCTATGAATTTCCTATTGTGACGTCATGAAAAAAGGCCATCATGTCTGATGACGTCCCATAAAAATTACACATCTACTTGCAGATCACTCAAAAAACAAGTTTGAGTTTGTCTGCATATCGTTTAAAAATCGACTAGCCTCGCGTTTTAAATTTGAAAATTTAACTGTCTCGAGTAGATGAATATCGTATCACACTTGATACTATCAGATTATTACATGGCATTTTTCATATCAGATGTATTATCAGCCCAAGGTTCAATATCAGCCCAAGAGCCAAAGGCTCGAGGGCTGATATTGACCAAGGGTTGACAATACATCTGATATGAAAAATGACATGTTATGATCTTTTTTTTATATGCTTCATCAATGGAGAAAAAAAACAGTTTAATATATTGATCCTTTTCAGTGGTTCTCACGTAGAAGTTCCAAAAGTGAAAAGTTTACGGACGTCGGACGCCAAATGGAGTACATCCGATATGAAATCTTTCTAACATATGCTTCAACAGAGTGAAAAAACAACAGCTTGATATACTTTTTTATTCACGATGAAAAAAATCAACAAAACATAATGAACACTGTTTGGAAAAATTTGTAAAAACATTTGTACAGTAACTTTCTAAATTATGCTGGAAACTTTTAAAAATGCATTTATTTGAACATTTTTTTTGTGTGCATTTTACATGATATATTATCCTGTATCGTAATAATTGTTTTGTACCCTACTTTAATTGTAATGTTTTTCACTGAAAACGTACCATTGAGGTGTATTTTCCGGAATTTGCCGAGTATCGCCGGAATGCCATGCGATAACGTTACGAAAGGCATGTGATAATAATCGAAGCATGTGATAAATTTTTCATTTCAGCCCGGTAAAAACCATTTCGGAAAAATATGGAATTCACGTAAATTCAATGCTATTATCATACTGTACAAATTATATGTTATTTGCTATAAGTATATGATAAAGTAGTAGAATCTATATATCTCGGTTGAATATTAGTTTTCGAGCATTATTAACAGATACATGGTTAATCTGTATATTAATCATCCACGGTGCTCTAATCAAATAGAAGGAAGGCCAAATCAAACAAGAAATTAACACAATTGTGCTAAATGAGGGCCTAGGCAATCTATGCCTTGGCATGAAATAAAATATTTCAAAGGAATCGAACTTTTATTGACAGTTAGTTTACAAAACAAAAATATATCAATATTAATGATATTTCATTTGAACAGAAAAGTGATGCTGATGACACTATGCAGATAATATGATCGGTCAAAAACCGTCCACCAGCCGAGGCATTGACCAAGTATTAGTTAAAAAAAAACACAGAAAAAGACAAAGTTCATTATTCAATATGTCAGATAGACTTTTTGTCAAAAATAAATTACACACCGGTAGTGCTAAAATCAGTAAATTTAAGGCTTAAATAACTACAAAGAGCATCGGCTAACGGAAATTCGGAAAAGTTGTCCAATATATGGCTCAGTCTATCTATGTCAAAGTGTAGATTTAGCAATGTGTTTCGATTAATTCAGCTTTGTAAAATTAGTAACTCTAAAAGATCATTAAGATATCAAAGAAATTATATATCAACACAAACGTGCTGACTACTGGGAAAGTGATTGGTCGGGTCAAAACATCACTATATTGACAACGGCCTAGTTTTTGAAAAAATTATCTTAGATACCAGGCTTATCATACGCCCGATTCGTTGACATAAGATTTACCATTGCCATCAAATCGAATCAAAACAGATCGGAGGTGAATTTAAATAGGAAGTTGAAGAGCATAATAGACCGAAAATCCAGCTAAGCTACTGTGATGTATGCCTGGTGGTAGAACAACCTTATTGCCTTACGTAAATCAACATTTTATAATCGTGAATTTACAAAAAAAGAACATATCAAAACACTCTATTTTTGTGTATCTTTACATTCTAATATATGTGGTACCGTTAAACTCATGGTGAAAATTTGAACACATCTATAGATATAAAAGTCATAATTATGCGTTGTATTTACCATCTTTACACTGATTAAACAGTGCATCCGACGTTTTACAATTTAATGAATATCATAATTAGTATACATAAATTGTAAATGAAAAATTAGAGAACGAGAATTGTAGAATTTATAAATTACAGATAAACTTAAATTAAACATTTTTGATAGCTCGAAGCTTCTTTCTTTGTTTGTTATTTAAAAACAGCTACTCCTTTGTAGTGGGTCTTTACAAATGCATTACACCTGACCAATATATTGATGGTGGTATTAATTAGATTTTTCATATTTTCATGGAAGACCTATTGATTTTTTCCGATTATTAGGTCTTTCCACTGTTCATTAGAAAGAACTATTGATTATGTTCTTATTATTGTTTTTTTTTCTTCCGCCAAACCGTTTTCTTGTATAAAGTTGATTTGCATGATGTCGCTTAAATATTTTGAACATTATACCGAACAGTTATTGCGCCTTTAACACTCATCTTGTTTTGCCGAAGACTTTTTTTTATTGTAAGAGCTATCTCCTCAAACACTGTTTGTCTTGTTAGTGTATCTCCTCCATAACCAATAACGATAACGACAAAATTCATTTTTATATTTGTTCATTACATTCTCAGGAATTTTTGGCTGATTTGGTGAAATTTTATCAGGGTTATCTCCCTTTACCAGATAAATTAGTCGTTATGTTTTCGTAACTCATAAACAGCAAGCCGTATAAACCTAGAGTCTTTTTATTTGAGGTCCCTGGGTCCTTTCTGAGAAAATGAGGTCAAGGTCAAAGATCAAGGTCATGCTCTCAATTTGACTTTTGCTTGTTTTTGCATTCTCTCTATTACTCTTATTTGAAGTTATATACAAAAGTACTAGTGAAAATTTCTGCTTTATTGTGATGAAGATATGATATATATTGTTCCAAATAATCCAATGAGATCTAATTGAAGTTATTGCCCCTGAAAAGTTTTTTTATTTTAAGGTAAATTGATGATTACTCCAGATTGTTACATGATAAAGCAAAATTGTCGAGTGTCATATCACCTTGAAAAATGTCAACCGTAAGAGATCATAAATGAACCGGAAGTAGTCATGTTTGCATTTATTTTATGGAAAATTATCTAGAAACCATATATTTTTTAAATGGTCATACATAAACCTATCATTTGAGACTGGAAGTGATATTCTACATACCAGAAGTAGCAAATTATTTCCTTATTACAGGCGTAAGTATATACAAACTTTATATTTTTGGAATCAGTGTATATAAAACTATCAAGTAAAACCGAAAATGCCATTTTCTTAACCGGAAGTAGCCAATTATATCTCTTTTAACAGGCACACGTATATGTAAACCAACGTTTTTGAAATTAGTGTAAATACAGCTAAATTATCAGACCGGAAATGATATTTTCTAAACCGGAAGTTATCTCCAATATTTCAGATTTATGTTTATAGAAACCATATATGTATTGAATCAGAAAGAAGAAATCCTTAATTAAAAGTAAATTTGAGTAAACCGGAAGTAGCTTCTTATCATTTATGAAGAAAATTAACATGGAAAGACCTTCAATTGTAGCATTAATAACTTAATATAATGAAATATGAAACGAAATATTATATCAGTTCCTTTTGAGTTTTTCTTGTTTTGGACAAAACATTCAACTCAAGCACGCATGATCTTTTGCGATAAGATTTTTGCCCATTTATATAATATTTTCCGATATACTGTTACTGGGGTAAGAGATGCAAAGTATTGCGTCTTAAAGATTCAACTTCGTCTTTCTGTCGAATTGTAGAAACTTTTTTCTATAGGACGTTTGGATTATATAATGATTTCAGTATTAACAAGTTTATCATGACTTCAGAACCACCGATGAGTCTTATGTAGACGAAACGCTCGGATGTACTAATTTGTTAGCGAGTTATATTTGATGAGCTTTTATAACACATGGGATTTAACAGTTGGTGCACTTTTGTGCTAATATGAAATATAATTAATATGTTCCTTTCTGGTTATTCACTGTTCCTAAAGTGTTTAAATATTCAAACGTAAGGTTTTCTACTTTAGATTACCTTAGCCCTATCTGGCACAACTCTTCGGAATGTCGGTTTTTAATGCTCTTTAATTTGACTTGCCTTTGCAATTGTTTTGATTTGCATGCTACTGATGAGTATTTTGTAGACGAAACGCGTGTCTATAATTTTAAACTATAAACCTTCTATTTTTGGTAAGTTCCTCCAACCACATTGATATTTCATTTTCAGTTTATTTAATGTTAAAGAAATATTAAAACTGGAAATTTTCTACCCTCCGGTATAAACTACTTTGGCTTAGCTGAATTCAATACATTCTTAACCGATTTGTTTGGTATTTCATTCTGTTCAAAATCAAAATATTTCATTTGGCTTTCCAAATGTTTCACATAGAGCACCACTGGTGAGTCTTATGTAGACAAAACGCAAGTCTGGTGTTTCACTTCCTAAGCCTGATATATTTGAAGAGTTTTAATCTAGGGTTCATAACACCCTAAAATATGAACTACATTAAACATGTCAAAATCCAAATTTACCAAAGTTTCCATTCTCACCTTCTCTTATAAAAAGTTGTTGCATATCTTTTGTTTCATTTCAGCTGGTTATAAGCCAGTTATTGGTCAGCAAAAGTATATCTCAATATCAAAATGCTCGTGTTGCTTTAATTCTGTGTATATTTGAAATAAACAATTACACATAAAGTTTCCAGGCAATTACGTTCATTCCTGAACATAACATATTGATATTGGATGGAAGGTTTTGTTTTAATAATCTAGTGTTTTAGGCTAAGAACAAAATGATGCTCTTCGCACTGGCAAATATGTTTCTTGTTTCTCGAAGTAACTGTGTTCGTTTGCAGAAATGTCCATCATGCAACTTAGTTAATATCTACTGAATACAGTGTGATCACTGGGTGAAATGTACATCCACTGTGTGTTCGAATTATCCGACTCCACCTTCGTTCCCTAGTACAACCTCTATGGGGATCTCAGCGTGTTTCCATTTACTTAAACAATATATCTAACTAGTGTTATTTTGATGAAAGGAAAAGCTCATTATATTATAATTTATTTATTTGCAGACAAAAGTGATACCAAACCAACTGGTAACAGTAGATTCTCTGAGATTCAAATGTAAGTAAGAGTTATATGATAATATATTTTGTAATATTTCTTCGACATACTATTTATAAACCTTTACCAAAAATATGTGTCCGAAATTCGTTTGAGTCTTTTATCAAAAGAAAAATAATCATTAGTCATTTGTCCAATTTTATATTTGCCTCACAACATTCTTTGGCTGTTTACAACATTCGTTCGATGTGCAGGATAGGATAGACTGTTTTATTATATATTTAGTAGTAAACACAGAGAAATTGTATGTGTAATACAATCATTGGCAAGCGTGCTGTATCAGCCACCCGTGATGATATCGATATCAGCACGGTTGCAAAGGCTTTATCACACCTTTAATCTGTATGACGTCACGTCATCCATTACAGTCACTGTTGCAAAGGCTGTGTGTGTTCCATTTTAATGTTGTGTTTTTGTTGTGTCGTTGCTCTCCTCTTATATTTGATGCGTTTCCCTCAGTTTTAGTTTGTAACCCGGATTTGTTTTTATCGATTTATGAGTTTCGAACAGCGGTATACTACTGTTGCCTTTATTTATCAAACCCATAATCTGTATGACGTCATGTCAAACCTTTAATCTGTATGACGTCATTTCAAACCTCCTTACCTGTATGACGTCATGTCACATAAAAAAACATCTACGTGAGGTATATGTATATAATAAAGTGTATATAATATGGCTTTTTCAATATCACACACCGTATCAACCCTCAACCAATATAATCCCTCGAGCAGAGCTCTTGGGATTATATTGGTGTCTCGGGTTGATACGGATGTGATATTGAAAAAGCCATATGATATTCTCTATATATGTTCTAAAAACTATTTTGGTTTTTGTCCTACATATCTTTATTTTGGGCTTCGAACTTTTTATAGAAAAGCTGAAAGAGAAATACTGGCACGGCCATAGCAAAAAAAAAATAAAAAGTCGGAATGTGAATATATATATATTTATACTCTTTTTGGTAAATTGTAAGCAACAAAAACAAATGAACTATGTCAATTGGGTCTGCTTTGAAACGATAACTTGAATTTTTACTAGATGACATTATTGTTCGCTATGAAGATTCCGAATATTGTCAAGTTATCTGAATTCCAATGGGGACTTACTGTGCACCACTTATTGCAGATAAGTGTGTTGATATGAGTTAAAATTTATGACCTAAATCTGAAAAGACCCATCGAAACAATATCTGATATTAAAATTCAATAGCACGTTCAGTTATTTACAAATTATGACGACACACGCGACCCAGGATGAGTCGATCCTCGGATGAGTCAAATAAGTTTGTCCGGTCCCTTCGACTTCGACACAACAAGGTTCGACTGCAGAAATAAAATCAATAGTATACACAAATATTTACAAAGGTAAACACTATAAATTATGAAATCCCTCGCGGAACGAAATAATTTCTGAACGGTCTCTGATGAGGTCGTCTACTTTACATTAAATTATCTTGAATTTATCATAATTGTCTTAATCCTTTTATTTATAGTAATTAATGAGTTTTAATTCTCTCGATTCATTTAATCTCGGCTTGTGTCAATTAAATTCGTTTCGTTTTAATCTCTTGTGAAATATGTTCAACACACTAACGCCCCGCTTGAATTATCAACAAAGGTGTTAATTACCGGCCCCCATAAACAGGTCATTTTAACTGTTATACAAACAAGTATGTTTACTCTACTTTTGAATCAATAAGGTTACATTAAAAAAACATCCGATTTGAATTTTTATCGTTAGGGGTGCATCTTTCGAAAATTCTTACTTTCGAACTTCGAGAAATCGGGATCAATTTACATTGATTTTATATCGACGGGACTATAAAGTATACTCCACTTAACCGAGTATTCGAATTAACTGAGTTCGACTCATCAGAGGTAATTATGCATTGATCAAACGGGAATTTTACAGGGACCGAGAAATTACTTCAACTCATCCGAGTTTTCGACACAACGAGGTTCGACTGTAATTGTAGGACAATATCTAATTCACATATATTAATGAGAAACCAACAGATCATCATGAAAATTTTAGAGCAAATTGCCATCAATGTACTTCTAAAATATTTGACTCACATGACGGTATAAATGTTTTAAATCCTTGCACACTCTAATTTTGTAAAATTAGTATACACAATAAGTTTATAGAAATAAAATTATCAGCTGTAAAAACAAATGGCAATTAGTCTGATTAATATGTGTGTAAAACAGCCTAGGGACCATGCTATTTCATGCATTTTATCCAATTAGCAGATTAATACAAATTTATCAAGCCATGCCATTATACTTCAATTATTTTCAATATAATGACAAGCATATTTCTTCTTAAATTTTTAAAGAAAAAAATAAATTTGAAATTTATATGAAACTTTTTAATTAAATTTCAAAGAAATCCTTCTTCTTAAAAATGAAAAGAAAATAAGTTGACAACCTAAGTTGGCTACCTTAATTAAAGGAAATTCAATAGTATTTGACCAAATGCCAAAAAAAAAAAATAATAATAAAGGAATGCTATAGTGATGTTTGTTGCCATTGACATATAGTTTGGCAATAGTTAATATTGAAAAGTTAAGAAATTTAATGACAATAGATGACAAAAAATACCAGATATCAAGTACATGAAAACACTTTACATCCAAATTGTTACATAAGCTTACATGAATATTTTACACATGCTTAATTTGAGACGAGTTATATATATATCTATCATATATGTAGTACTAAATACAGAAATTTTGTATATCTAATAAAGGTTCTGAACTCCAGTCTTTATCATCTATCATGTATCGCATACCCCGTATCGCATAGCTAAACCCGTATCGCATACCGCGTATCGCACCTTTTTTGGAACATCTCGAGATTGTTTCCGGAACTACTCAGTTGTTATCCGCTTGAAATTTATGCAATTACTTATTCATTACCGCATCTCTTTCAAATTAAAGACCACAAATCATATAAATTAATCTTTTTCTGAGGCTTCGCTAGGTCTACAGTGTTACTTCATCAAAGCGTGACGTCATATATCGAATGACGTCAAATTTGGACATATGACGTCAAGTTGTCGAATTTCCTGGCATGATACGAAATGTAACCACAATAAATAGGCACCAGCAAGAGTGCTTAGCAGCAGTCTGCTAGTGGATGGCCATCTAGATTTGTTTGGGGGCTAGGAGGAGGGGGAGCTAGCAAATTTGATGAGGTCAGAATATTTATTTCAAACATACACATGATACAGGTGGCCAGATTATTTATGTTCACTCCGCCTGGGCCAGAATATTTATTTTCTCATCATCCCCAAATCTGCCCCTCTTCGCCAACCCTCAGCAATTTCTTTTTTTTTTTTTGAGATTTCATATACGAAATTATATTTATTTAGGCGATAAGGAGGGGGTGACGTTCACTGCATATCCCTCAAAACAACAACTGATAATACTTCTTTCCGGATTTGTAAATGATAAAAAATGTGTTTGGGATCAGAATATTTATTTTTCATGTACATGTATAAGACAAGATTATCTTTTTTCATCTAAACTTGATGAGTTCCAGAATATTTATTTCTAAAATTTGCCAGGCCCCTACATTGTTCCCTTACATATCCTGAATCTGATTTTGTTAAAATATATGATAAACAGATCAATACATGGAAAAATTCGTATCGCATGCTGTATCACCACTCGACCAATATCAGCCCTCGGTACTGATATTGGTTTCTCGTGGTGATACAGCATGCGATAAAGATTTTACCATGTATTATTCTATATATACTGTACATTACATATTGGTTATAACAATTAGGATAAAATGTAATGTGTAATTTGATTAATTACTTTGGTAAAGTGATTGTAATTTAATTAATTACATTGTCAAAACTGTGTAATGGTAATTAGTGTCATTGATAATTTTTGTAATGTAATGCGTAATTCAATTCATTACATTCCAATGTAAATGACCCTAAGTCTGATGTATTGACTCTCAATAATGATGACTTCAATATGTACACTAAAGAGACTGACTTTCAATAAAGCTAATACCAACAATGAACACTGTCATTTCCTGGATTTTGATATCTATTTCTTTAACGGGAAGCTTACTGGTATCTATGATGAGTTTATTTACTACCAAAATTTACGATAAAAGAGATGCTTTTTCATTTCCTATTGTAAATCATTCATTTTTAGAAGGTAACGTTCCCTTGTCACCATCTTATGGTATTGATATATCTCAACTGGTTCGATTCGCTCGTTTATGTATCAAAGTCTTTGATTTAAACGAACGAATCTCTGTATTACTGACAAATTATTACACCAGGGTTTTCGATATCACAAATTTCATCGGAGTTCGGTATTTTTGTGATTTTACAAACTTGTCAATATATTTACTAAATTTTATCATCAGTACAAGGACATAACTCGTAAATATGAATCAACATGCAGACATCGTATACGTAAAGGTATTTGACGTTCAATCTTTTATGGTAATATTCCATACAAAGTAAGAACATATCGTCATTCACCTCAAAAGCTAACCAAACTTTAAAATAGACTTATTGAGAAGGAATATAGTTACGATACTGTTATCAGTCATTAAAAATGGCATTTTTTAAAAATTAATACTGATTGACCTATAGAGTCTTTGCATTGGAAATAAACCCATTTACTCTAAAATAATAGTTGTTAGTATGATGTGGGTTATGTTCGTTTATAATGGTATGATACAAGACCCCTAACGGAAGGATTTGTGATTGATTTTAGATATGATGGAGACATAATCTTTCAATCAGTTAAATTGAGTCCACTGTTAATGTATGCATCATTGTCATTCTGCTTAGTTTTTTCTGTTACCTGCTCTAACATCGGACTTCTTTTTTACTGAGTTTAACTGTGCATATTGATGTGTGTTTTGTGTATTTTACATTGGCTAGAGGTAAAGGGGAGGGTTGAGATCTCACAAAACATGTTTAACCCCACCGGATTCATGCGCCTGTCCTACGTCAGGAGC